CTATAAATATTAATTTCAAAATATAATTGAAAGTAATTTGAAAAGCTTCATCTACAGTAATCGAAAACAGTTTTATTTAGCAGCAAAAAATTTTTATCTGGGCTAAAACAATTATTCACAAATAACTTAATAACGCAAACACTTAGCAAAGCGTAAGTCCGTACACTTCATCCCAGTGAAACTTTCGACCGGCGGTAGAGAACACGGTCCAATATCTGCCCTACTTAGCGAGATACCCGCTGTGGGCCCATGACCCGCAGTGGGCTCGCTGCCTCATGTTACCCTACCTTTATTAAAATATTAGTATGGGTCGGCAACATTTTTTCCTTTAAGCAGGTGTCATTGAAGATCAGAGAATTAGTTTTATTTGCAATTTTCTTATTTGTTTTTTTTTTTCAATAGATCGAACAGTATTTTTCGTTTGAACTGGTAAATCGAAAATCAGCGTACCGATCGACATTTTAATTTATTTAACAACGTTTCGAATGTATCAATCATTCATTATCAAGTTACAAGGCGCATTGAGTGATGGAATTTGGATCGACATAAGTATAAAATTATGTAAATAGGATACTACTCACCAATCAAAATAGTTATAAATAATTACAAAATCACAAAAATATGAAGATAATCGAGAATTTTAAACACCAAAAATTACTCCGAAAACAGTCTCAAGGTTCTGACAAATCCAGTAGTTTGTAGGTTGATGGCTTGGGTCCTATCCTTAATGATGAGGGCCTCAGCTATCGCGAGTCTGTTGGCGTCGGGGCATCGCATGACGACGCTGGTGCATTCTTTCAGCACCGGACGAGTGATGGTCTCGTTAATTGTGGGCTTCCATTAGCTGGTTTCTTGGTCCACCAGACTGAAGGAGGCACGTGAGTCGTCGGCTTAATCCCGTGGTTGTGAGCCCGAATGTAATCCATATTGGGGAGAAGTCTACAACGTTCGCTATTGCAAGATAATTTATAGACTACATTGGTCTCTTGGAAAACTCCTGTTATTTTGCAGGGACTGGATTGACAACTGGAAATACTTGATGTTGTAATATCCTAGGTCGGTGCTAATAATATTAATATGTAGCCAAATAATATTTAACAGAATATCAACTGCAGTTGCTAATTGATAATGATGCTTAAAGCAATAACATGGATAATAATGTTGAGTCAGAGTTAATGGGTAACTCTGTTAAAATTCACTAGGCTAGCAACGTTCCTCGAAAATGAGTTACGTGAGTAACTGGAAGAAATAATATATACATGGTCGCTACAGTTTCATTTTCAGTTGCAAACTATTGGATTTTTAACTTCTTGAATAACTCTTGTATTGGCTTGTAAATAAATTCCAGACCTTTGTCTTTTTGAATTTTAAAGGGAATTCGTTCTGTGAAAAGCTTTTGGAAAGAAGTTTCAACATTTTCACCAGCCTATCTTCGTTTTCACCAGCCTATCCCATGCAGGTTTACTAAAGAAATCAATCAGTTAGAATGTATAAGTATTTCCTCTATCTGTATACTTATTAGCCGTGGGATATTAAGATATTTATTTTACAATAGATAATATTCTAATAATAAAATTTGGGAGATAAAACTCGGACAAGTACTGTCACACATGAGACGTTAGAGCATACATTATTAACCGCATGAAATTCGTATAGTAAATAATTCACCCCTATTACCTTCCTATGAAATGTTATAGAATATTGTTTAGCCATGCTAATTACGTATGATATGAAAAATCAATAACTATTTGGCTAATTCTATCGTTAATGCAACACTTTTGCAGTTTTATATTACAATGGAGAAAAATATGAACTTAAGGATGTGGATTCAGCTTATACTCACTCTCACATCGTGAAATCGCGTAATCATCTTGTTACAAGTTCCGATCCTTGCATGGAAATTACACTAGAAGTGGCTCTTCGTACATGAAAGGATGACGTATTGGAATGACTGTTATGTCTTCAATGGTAGGGTATGTGTTAACCTTGGTAACGGTTCTGTGAGCCTAGCGAACGTCTCTCAAATCAAATCTCTTGTCCGAACCAGCTGGGGACAACAGAAGGAAACCCTCATTGTGACTTTCCAGGCCCTTATTAAGTCTCTCGTCACCTACTCTTTCCCGGTGTGGTTCCCTAACGTCTCTTCTTCGGTCATCTCTAAGTTGCAAACTATACGGAATTCTGCACTCGCTCATAACCACGGGTTGTCTTCAAATGGCCTCCGCTTCTCACCTGCACAGCGAAGCTGAGGTCTTACCCGTGTCAGAACACCTCTCTTTCCCCTGCTCGCAGTGCCTCACCAGCTCCCTACGATCACACCATCCCAACTATCCCATTGTCACCCAGATATCGGGGCCCCGTTCCATGAAACACAATAAGCTTCAAACCCGATTCTGACATTATTCTCTCATTTGCTGGAAGAGGGCCCCTCCCCCGAGGAGGGGGGTCCTCAAATTCTCTACCCCTCCATCTCATCCAGCGAGCAATACCTCCACAGAGTGGCCAGAAGCTCCCTTTCCCAGCTGCACTCCGGCTCATCGCGACTCAATTCGTACCATGCCCGAGTTAGAGCAGCAAATAGCCCTCTCTGCTCAGAGTGCAGCGTAATTACGTCGAATCTTAAGCGCGATAACATTCCCTCTTCTTTCACACTTATTCAAGTGTATCATGTAACAGTGGTAACAGCTCTGTTTGTGTGCAATATGAATGGCGCTATCATTATCGCATAGGTTCTAGAAAGTATTTTAAAAATTTAAATCAATTATACATCCCAAAGAAGTATCGTCCAAAGTTATACTCGCTATAGGTTCTCGCTAAATGTCCCGGGTTCTCGGCATTGGTTAAAAAGTGCATGCATGCTCAACAGTGGGTAAATGATCAGGTGATTTGGGGCGTTTGTGCAGATTGTGATGATACACTCGTTGAACCCCCTACTCCTGTTCTTCTAGATATTGTCAATAATTTTCAAATGAAATCGAATCAAGTTAATTGAAAACAGAAAACTAAAACAAGACCATATTAGAATAGAACAGAAGTGTCGGCACCAAAGAAATAGGCCCATGGCCTGTTGCCGATTCCTGCACTTCTGGTGACTTGATTCACAAGGGATCCGGCCTTTGGAACCAGATCTTTCCATAACTGACGTCTGATTGAGATAGCTGCTAGACATTGTCTGGTCCGTAAGGTGCTAGGCATTTCAAGACTGAACATATGCTCCTGCATAGCTTCGTCTAGCTCTAGTCTGTTCTTGAAGGCGTTCATACTCGATCGGAGAGTCAACGATGCTATCTGCAAAGGGCATATCACAATCAATGTAATCACTATGAATATTCTTCATATCGTTGAAAGGTAACTCGAATAGAATTAATAAATTTGAATTCGTTCTACTGGTTTGTTTTGGTAGTATGTGGTAGTTTTGGGATAAGCAAATTGAACTACAGTTATTATGTCTTCTACGGGTGTAAAAACTATCAGCAAGATTTTGATTCTTTTCCGTAGCAATATCATCAAAAATGAATAAATTCTTCATCCCTGTGTTTTCGTCGACGAGAAAATGCGCTCTCTGTCACTCACTGCAGTGAGTACTGAGTTATATTTTTTTTATTTTATCGTTATCAAAAGCACTGTTTGATGATCTAAACACGACCCCTAACGAAGAGGCTATCTGTTCGAGAGAGAGATCGGACCACACTGATTCTTTAGCTGATTGTTGTTCTGCGGACAAGTGGTTGAGCCCATAAAAGCTATTGACCCAGATAGCTATACCTCTGCTGCACTGCTCTTCATTTAAGTAATGTAAACAATCAAACCCTGATAACTGAAATTCAGCAGCTACAATCTTCCCCTCTGTGATTTTACAAATACAAATAATATCTCTACTCTCGTTTGCGTTCACAGTTAACTGTTCACTTCCTTTGTTCAAAACAAAATGAGTTCAGGTTTTATGTATATGACTCCTATTGTTTCTTACCTGCCTTCCATCTCCACTGGATTTACAACGGTTCATGATTGACTTAGTTTTTCTGCTCATACAATAGATTATTGGTAGGATAGTACTGTGAATTTTCCTTGTGTGCGCAGAAAGTTTTGCATTTATTGTTCCGTTTGTCCAATTGTGTCTCGGCGGTGCATTCTTCTGGGCTGTAACGTCCCTAAAATAATTTTATTTCATGTCCGATTAGCCACATTGCGTCTCTGCGGTCCAGCTTTTCGGCTGTGGCGTCTATAAAACCATTGTACAGACATCAGATCAACATTTAAGGGGATTTAAGATTGGGAAGTGAAGAGAAATCGTTGCTTTGGAAGCAGTGCAGTTCAAAATCGGTACATTAATTGCATCCATCAAGCAGGAACATATTATGAGGACTTCTTCCTTCCTCAAGAATTACTAGTGTAACGATGAAATCTATTTAATTTTATTATTTTTTCACTTGATTTTATTCATATTATTTCATTTCAAGAAATACTGATTTTATGTGCTGGTATAATGAAAATGAATATATTTTAGCATTATGACTCAAGAAGTCATGAGCATAGGGGCGTAGAAATTTCCACTAGTTCAGAGTGGGGAGTAACAGAAAAGTTCGGAAGCCACCTGGTTGTCCTTCACTTTTAGATCTCTTACAAAGAAATTGACTGTCTCTAAGATAACATATTAGGAAATCATCTAGATTAGTTCCCAAAATTAATAACCTACCACTTTTCATAACAGTACCGTGAATAGATCAAATGCGTAACAACGTTTGTAGCATTAAATGTCATTTTTCATCTTATTTCAGGGTGCTGGATTTCAAGAGGTTTGTGAAGACCTGAACGTCATGGAAAGGTGCAAGGGACTATTTCAATATCTTGTTTTCCCCTTCCGAAGCCGATGGCGCTCCCTAGCGCGAGGTGCGGTGGCTGTTGTTTCTCTCCAGCTAATGCTGCTACTGCTGGGGATGCTTTCACAAGACAGCTTGAGCTGTCTTGTTGACGAAAGATTTTTGCATCAAGGAAATTATATGAACAGCAACATCCTCATCGATTTAACCAATTTTGAGTACCTTCAAAATCCAAGAATTTGTGATGGCTCAGCAGAAGATGTGTTGGCACTTGTTTTGGTTCACTCACACCCCAGTAACATCAATCACAGAAACAGACTTCGAGAACAAATGCCTCGGGAAATTTTGGCGGAAATTGGTATGAGAAGAGCTTTCCTTATGGGCGATCCAAATGTAAGCCAAAAACAATATCCGCGGGTTAATCAGAGCGAAATAGATGCGGAAAACAACAAGTTTAATGATATTGTCCAAGGCAATTTCCTGGATCACTATCACAATCTCACATACAAGCACGTCATGGGCCTGACTTGGGCTACGCGCTTTTGCTCTCGTGCGGCGTTCATAGTCAAGATGGATAATGACATCAAAGTGAACTTTTTTCACATACGACAACTTTTGAAGACCACGTACGCTGACATCAAAAACGTTCTACTAGGAACTTCTCAAGTTAAGACGAATCCTGTTAGAGCCATCAGCAAATGGCAAGTATTGCAAAAGGAATATGTCGGTGATGAATACCCTACTTATTTGAGTGGATACTTCTACATTGCACCAATGGAAACTGTGAGGAAACTGGTAGCAAACGCACACAAATTTCGATATTTTTGGGTTGATGACGTCTTCGTATCTGGGATAATGGCACAAGACCTGCAAATAGAACGGCGAAACATTGACCTCAAGAAGATTGTGCATTGGCCTCAAGAAAAAGAGCCTACAAGATAAGTAGTTTTATCATAAGTATTTTTGCAATGCTATAGGGGTGGCATTGAAAAACTTTATGATTTATTCAGTTGGAGAATAATGGATCAGTACGAAGATTCCGATGAATATTGGAACGTAAGTTATGGCTTAATAGGAAATTGTACCAATTTTTTAAATAGATTTCATCATGTATTACAACATACATTTTTGTAAATATGCCCAGTCAAAAGCCAAAATAAGTACAGTTAGGCCTCTTGAAGAAAACAATTTCCATTTTGAAGACGATCAGGACACATACAAAATGCGAGGAGCACAGTTTGAAGAAGTATTCAGCAACTCACGTTACTCCAGTGTGAAGAAATGAATTAAATTTCTTCAGAACTAACAGAGCGGCGGGTGTTGATGAACACTTAAGTGCCAAAACCCGGAACAAGAGATGCATGTCTAGGAATTATCGACTTATTCGGTTCCTAGGCCAGATGGAGTCCCTGCAGTGTTGCTGAAAAAAAAATGTTTCGTTGCAATAAAAGCCCCACTGACTATGGTCTGGAAAGCATGCATTGTTGAGAGAAGAAATATTCCCTAGTGGCCAAAAATTTGAACCAATAACTCCAATCTACAAAGGGGTGTGAAAAACCAACTTTAACATTACAGGCCGGCAACATCAACATCACATGTAATCATGGGGTTTGAGAAGGTCGTTACCAGAAGGTTGAACCAACACATGGACGAAGCTGACATTTTTCACAGAAAATAACACGGACAATGACATTACAGTGAACATTTTTCACAAACGACAACTTTGAGGCGAAATCTCGCGTGCTTGTCCTTGTCACTGTATCATCACTACCAAATTCTGGCCAAGCAGGAAGTGAGGACCGGGCTGGACGTAGGCCGTAGCTAGTGTATTTAGACTTTTCTAAAGTGTTTGACGAAGTTGCCCATGGAGAGCACTCCATGGGTCGTAGTCTAAACTACATTACTGGGGGTCGGAGGAGAGTAATTGGCGCAGATCCACAAGTTCCTAAGTGAGCCACTCCTCGACATAATCATTCGCGGACGACATTAGGGTGCTGATGCCTATTGAGGACAGTACAGACTGCGAGAGGTTGCAAGAAACCCTGTCTACAATTATCGACTGAGCCCAAATGAACAACATGCAATTCTACGGAACCAATTCGCAAATCCAGTAGTACCGGAGATTCTCAGATACAGAAACACCGTCAGCGGGGGGGGGAGGAATTTACCTTGTAAGTGTAACATTGGCTCAGAGTAGAGAAAGGATTTGTTGTGCTGTAGTGTGATCATGTCATTAGTTATCTATGTCATGATTCATGAATCATAGGATAGTTAGCACCACTTTCTTCATTGTTGATGATGCTTGGGTTAAGTTCCATGTTTCTCAACCTTTCAAGGGCAGGGTGGCCCAGTGGTTAAAGTTCAGAGTACCAAGATTGGAGCAGAGAGGCGCGGGTTCGATCCCAGCTCTGTGCATCAGTTTCTGGTCAGAATCGGCAAGGAGGCCGGGCGGTTAAGCACAGCAGAATTGACAAAACGCTGTGAATGTTCGGCGATGTTAAGAATCGGCAACAGGCCTACGGCCTGCTAAACGTTGAAATCGCTATTATTATTATTTCTAGTACTGCTCCATCTTCACTGCGAGAAAGTCGTGAACCTTGTCAAATTTTACTTACAAACACTAATTATTGAACTAAAAATAAATGGTCAGTGAGTAATCATAATATATATTTCATTTTTTTAAGAATTTGTCGTTTATTAAGCCTATTACATATAGGGTAACATAAGGCAAAGGGAAAGGGACCACTGCGGGTCACGGGCCCATAGCGGGTTTCTCGCTAAGTATATCAGATATTGGTCCGTGTTTTCTTAACGCCGGTCGACAGTTCTATGTTTTGCTAAGAGTTTGCGTTGGTAAATTATTCGCAAATAACTGTTGTAGCCCAGATAAAAGTTTTTTACTACTAAATACAACTTTTTNATTAAAATACGATTTTTCAAGTGTACGAATATTTATTTTCCCCCACTGTATATTTTGAGAGTAATATTTACAGAGATAATTTTGAGTTCAAGTTTAGACTATTAGCTTTAAAATAAAATGTTGACACGATATAAATTGAAATGATACCGAGTGGGGCAATGGGCCCAGGCGTGTCACGGGGCAATGCGCCCATGGATGGAGGCTCAATACCCCTCTGTGAAGTCCGGTGTTATACATCATTAGATTTGCCTCATTCATTCCTCAATGATCTTTTCAAAACTATGACTAGCTTTTTGAATTACTAATTACTCTTCATATTGCATGATTTTTTGATTTGCCGCCTCAAGACAGCAGGTTCTAGTTTCTAGTTATGCGTATTTGACCCCAAATCGAGTTATTGACTCTTGCATTGTCAAAAGTTGATTTCAGACAACACCAATGAGCCAAAAGTTAACGAGTTTTCATGGTGTTGGCTGAAGTCACGATTAAGTACGAATTCCCTGCACATAATATATAGATTATGGACGAAACTGTAACGAAGTTTTTTCTGATCAACGAAATATATTTTTTCTAGTCAAGGTCCTCAAGGATACATTTTTTCATGTCAGGGATGAATTTTTTATGGCATGGATATATTTTTCGAGTGATAAATAAATATTTTCATGTCAATGAAATATTTTTCCACGTTAGTGATAGATTTTTGACGTCAAGTTTCAAGTTAAGGATATGATTTTTTAAGTTGTTAATAAATGAATGCATGACATATTTTTTATTATATTTTTCTTATTTTTTAACTGTAAAGTGTTGTTTTATCATTTTTAAAGAAAAATATGCAATTGTGGTAAAGGGACCAGGGGTGGGCGCCTTTCTCCGAGCCCATGGGCCTATTGCCCCAGGGGTGGGGCAATGGGCCCATTTTGACACTTTTTACAAAATAGTGTTTCATTAAAAATTGAATAACTCTATAGGCGTTTAATTTACATCATACATTCCTCATTATTTGTACCTTTAAACAAAACAATGAACTACTTGATATCAATTAAAACTTCATCAAAAATTTAGTTTAAAAAAGGGGGGCTGCCCCATGTTACCCTATCATTTACAAAATAATGTTATTTGACAATTTCATTGCAACTTTTGCCTATAATTGGTGAATTTTGGCCCAAAAATTCAAACAAATCATGATAATATCATGAAAGTTTTGCCTGGTTCTCACTAGAACGCTGTCAAGGCCTCGTATACACATCAGCTATGGTGCTAACCCAGTCAGTGTATGACATTTAGTGCAATTGTCTTTATTTGATCCGAGAGTAGTGCTTAATTGTCTGCATTTGAGTGGAGCTTAGTACTTAATTGTCTTTATTTAATCGAATTTTAGTGCTTAATTGTCTTTATTTGATTGAAGATTACTGCTTAATTGTCGGCATTTGGTTGTGACTAAGTGCTTAATTATCTACATTTGAACGTGACTTAGTGCTTAATTATTTGCATTTGATCGTGACTTAGTGCTTAATTATCTGCATTTGATCGTGACTTAGTGCTTAATTATCTGCATTTGATTGTGATTTAGTGCTTTATTGTCTTATTTAATCTTGACTTAGTGCTTAATTGTCTGCAATTGAATAAAAACTAAAATAAGGTGCAACTCTACTACAGACGAAGTTGATGTTGAGATGATATTAGAGTCTGATGGGCAGAGCGAAAAACTTTTCGTGGTCTGGAAGAATTATCGCAATAATAAGCAGGCATTTATCTTTTCATATGCCAAATGCTGAAGAAACACAAGTTGTGTTGAAACTTCAATGAAGACTTTGCTGTTGATAACTTTGGGGTTGTTGAATATAATGAACAGAAATTCCCTGGCAAATTATCGGCTTATCTGAAGAAGGACCTTCAGTTGAATGCATGGAAAAGAAATTCAAGTTTTCGCGCTGGCCGGAGAAACAAGATTGCCTACATGACTTACGATTTATCTTCATCAAAAGATGAATCCTCCAAAAATAGCTTCAAAGAGGAACCAGTTCTATGTACCAGAACTAGACAACCATGTGTGATGTAAAATTTCTTTTTCTACATTTTATATACAATGTTTTTCACTGAAATAACATTTTACATATATTTTTCACATATTTTACATGTTTTATTCATCCACATATTTTAACATTATATGTAAATTTTTTAAATAAAAGAGGGAATAAGCAAAAAAGTGATATATCAGGTAGTAATTTTATCTGTTTAAAGGTATGGTGGCAAAGTTTCCTTAACCAAAAAAAAATAAAAAAAACAACTCGTGTTAATATTACAAAGTGAATGTGAGGTCTCAATATGGATTTAATTTATTGATTAAAAAATTCCTTTACTCACTAAGATTCTTTGGGAATGAACGAGCTGTCCCGCTCTCTTCGTCTTAAGTAATCACAGACTTATTAGTGTAGGAAATTCAGGTTTTATTAAAGATTAGATGTAGGGAAATATTGAGAACTGACAACTAGTGAGGTTGCCCGCTCGTAGGCCATATATAAGGCTGGAGGTGACGACGAGGGGTAGCTCTTAGAAACGCACGGCCTAGGAAGCAGTCGCATGACGGTCTGTGAGACTGTGGCTAGTGATTGAGGTAGTAGAAGTTACTGACAACTAGCCTCGTAGGGACGAAGAGTAAGATTTTTTCCTGCGAGGACGAAGAACGACTATTTCAGAGCGACGGATAATAGCAAGTGAAACCTGCCAAGAGATCTGACAAGCCGACCTTACTACGAATTAAGGGGAGACCTGCCAAGAGATCCGACAAGCCAATCCCACAACGTGATGAGGGAGACCTGCCAAGAGATCCGAAAACCAAACTCGTTATGAGATAAGGAAGACTTGCAAAGAGATTCGACAAGCCGAGATCGAGACGAGATAAGTGAAACCTGCCGAGATATCCGGCAAGCCGAAATCGACTCGAAATATGCCAGACCTTCCAAGAGATCGGACAAGCTGTCCCCACTAGGAGATGAGTAAGACCTGCCAAGAGATCCGACAA